CTGGCATTCTGTGTTCTGAGGTCCCTCCCAGCTGTGACATTCTATGTTCTAAGTTTCCTCTCAGCTCTGACATTCTATGTTCTAAGGGTTTTCCCAGCTCTGACATTCTATGTTCTAAGGGTTTTCCCAGCTCTGGCATTCTGTGTTCTAAGGGCTCTTCCAATTCTGATAGTCTATTTTCTTAAGTTTCCTTCTACCTCTAACATTCTATGCTCCATCTAATATTCTATTTTATATGGTCCCCTAAAGCTATGGAATTCTATGTCCTAATATCCTAAGTTTCAAGGTTCTTTCCCACTCTGGTATCTTATAGTCTAAGGTTCCTTTCAGCTCTGGCATCTTATGTTCTAGGTTTCTTTTCAGCTCTGCTCTTTTCATCTCTGACATTCCGTGTTCTAAGGTTCCTTCCTGCTTGGACAGTCTAATATCCTTCCCATCTGATAGTTTATGTTGTGACATCTTATGGTCTAAGACTCTTACCTGATATGATGTTTTCTGTTCTAACTTTTTACATCCTAAGGTGCCCACTGCTCTGACATTTTGGATTCTCAAGGCCCTTTCTGCTCTGGTATTCTATATTCTAAGGCTCCCTCTAACTAAAATTCTATGAGTCTGGATGGAATACTTTTTACTTTCCAGTAAGTTTATGGTCCAGGAAGAAATATTTTACTTTTTTTCCCAATGTAATTTTTAAAAATACAAAATCTCTCTCTCTTACCACGACCTTTCAAAGGCAATAAAATAGTCCCTGGGGGGCCCAGGTCAGGAGCCGCCACTGTAGGCCTGCCCTGAATGGGTCTGTTATTAATTCCACTCGGTGTCACCCAGTGTGGCTGGACCCAAGTGCCAACAGGAGCAACAGTGGAGCTTTGTTTGTGCCCAACATCTCACATCAGGGCAGTCTGAAATGTTTGCTTTCAATATGACGGACACGGTTCACATGCCCAGAGACATAAGTGCTTCCCAAGTGGCCCCAGGTGTTTTTACCTCGCCTATAACTTCTCCCTTCATTCTCTCCCCTGCCACCCCTTATAACAAAATAAATGTTTTTTATAGAAGAGCAAAAAAATTCAACAAAACCAATCAATATATGGAAAGTAGCTGACTTGATACACAAAATTTCCTAGTCAGTCTTATTTATTTCATGGTTAATAAAGGGCAAGGTGCCCTTGAGAACTTTGCCTGGGGACCCAGACCTTATATCTACAATATTGTTAACACCCCAAGCAAGGTAGAGTGAAATCAGGGCCTTGCTTTTGAATCCTGGCTTCCTATTTTTGACTTGTGTGTTCCTGGACAAGTTACTTCTCATTCTGGCCTCAGTTTCCTCTGCTGCAAAATGAGAGGATTGGAGGAGATCATTTATAATTCTAAATCCTAGGATCCATCGTTACCAAAACACACAGGAGGAAGGGGTGCCAGGCTGTGTGAACTCACATTCAGGCTCTTTCTGGCAAAGCCCCACGTGGTTTCTCTCTTCAGGGGAAAGAAGATAACTTTTCACCCACCCTGCTCAACCCCCTGGGTGACCCAGGCTCTTCTATCCCTGAGAGAAAACCCAGGTCAGCAGACTCTAAGGAACTGTGGGCATGTTATCAAGCCTGGTTTATAGACCCAAGCAAGGGCTACAGTGGGAGGAAGGGGGAGGAGTGGTGGCTCCTTTGTGTGGTATGTGGATGTGACTGGTACAATCGATGGTAACCATAAAAGTAATCTGTCCATCTCTTCACAGCTTAGCTCTCTTCCTTCCTCACCACTCAGCCAAACCTAAGCTGGGAACAGGGATACAAAGCGGTTCCATTTCAATATCCACTCTTCTTTGACCTATACATAATGACCGTACCTCACTGGCCAATGGGTGTGAACTTGGGACTCAGAGTATCATAGGATTTAGCCCAAGGGGTCTTAACCTTTGTTATGTCATGGACCCATCTGGAGACAGATGAAGCCTATGGACCCTTTCAGAAGAAAGTTTTTAAATTCACAGAATCAAATTGCAAAAGAAAACAATTATATTGAAAGCCAATCCCTGCCCTCAAGAAGCTTATAGTCTAAGAAGGAAAATAACACATAAGAAGAAGATAAAAATATTTTAAAAGACCAACAAAAATACCATTCACAGATCCCAGGTTAAGAACCCCTCATTTAGAGTTGGAAGAAACCACAGCGTCCATCTGATCCAACTGCTTCCTCTTCAGAGAGGAGGAAACTGAGACCCAGAAGGAGGAAGTGACTTGTCCGGGTCACACTGCACTCAGTCAATCAACAGCCGTTCATTAAGCGATCACTAGGAGCCTGCTGTGCTCAGTGTTGAGACAGGGGACGTAGGACTGAGTTTACAGCTTGGCCCTGATTCTGGCCATGAGACTCTAGGGCCCAGGGCCAGTCCCCCCAGTCTCCCTGAGCTTCAGTTTCCTCCTCCACGGGGACTCGCTTCTGGGAGTATAGAGGCATGAGATGGAGTATTGACTGGGGTGGGCCTTAAATGCCAGGCTGAGAAGTCTCTTTTATCCAGAGATAAGCTTTTTGAGCAGCAGGCCTAGGAATCAGAGCCCACTGAACCAGCCCCATCCCCGTGGACCACCCTCCGGGCCCCAAATCCTTTACTTTTCTTTCCCAGGCACAGGCCAGGTCTATTCAGCAGTCTCTCCTCTCTGCCCCTAGCCCTCCCACCCAGATGTCGGAGAAGTCAAAGTCCTGAATTTAGGGCTGGAAGGGACCTTAGAGAAGGCCTAGGCCGACCCCCTGATTTTACAGATGAGAAAACCTGAGGCCAAGGAGAAGCTACATGTCTAGTAAAGATCAGCTAGGTAATGAAGTTGTACAGCCAGGACTTGAGCCCTGGTCCTCTGACTCTTTATCTAATCTAATTCCTCCAACCCTAATACCAAAGTGTTCAGAGGCAGCTATGTGACATGGTGGATAAGAGTGATGGACTCTGGAGGAAGACCTGAATTCAAATCTTGCCCCAGAGCCTGGTCAAGTCACTTAACCTGCGTCTTCCTCAGTTTCCTCAGCTGTAAAACAGAGGCAATATTAATAGCACCTATGTCCCGGGGTTGTTGTGAGGATCGAATGAGACGCTATTCATAAAGTGCTTGGCACAGTGGCACACAGTCGGTTCATTTCCTTCCTTTTTCATTCCTCATTGTTGATCCTCGATCCAATTCCCTTCCCATGAACTAACACCCCTGTCTGGGTTTCTTCCATCCCGTCTCACTGCTCTGCAATTGTGCAGTTGGTCCTGACTTGGCCATCTGTGGGCTCACGGCTCAGTGCTTCTACTGCATTAACTCCTTTTGATCCCCAAACACTTGGCTATGTGGAAGCTGGGACCTGCCATGGGTCGTTCAGGGCCCCTTCCGGTGTATGTGAGAGGAGTGAGAGAGGAAGGATTTGCCTAAAGAAACGTCAAAGGGGAAAGGACAGGTGAGCCTCAACTTCGGACCACAAGGTTGGGGCTGGAGGTAGTATAGGCAAACCAGGTGGGGTGGTAGGGTGATAGTGGGGAAAAGCATCCAATCTGGGACCTTGGTCTTTTAATGTAAGTTAGAGCATATGTGTATAAGTGTGTGAGAAGGAGTGGGGAGGGTGAGGGAGAGATGGAGGGGAGACAGCAAGAATGAGAGAGAATGAAAGAGAATGAGAGAGAGAAAGAAAGAAGAAGGAAGAAAAAGAGAAAGAGAGAAGAAGAGAGAGAGGGGGAGGGAGGAAGGAAGAGAGAAAGGGAGAGAGAGAAAGAGAAGAAGAAAGAAAGAGGAAGAGAGAGAGAAATGGGAGGGAGAGAAAGGGAGAGAGGGAAAGAGGGGGAGAGGGGGACAGAGAGAGAGAGAGAGGGAGAAGAGGAGAGAGAGAGAGAGAGAGAGAGAGAGAGAGAGAGAGAGAGAGAGAGAGAGAGAAAGAAGGGAAGAGAGAGAGAGAAGAAGAGAGAAAGAGGAAGAGAGAGAGAAAATGGGAGGGAGAGAAAGGGAGAGAGGGAAAGAGAAGAAGAAAGAAAGAGAAGAGAGAGAAAATGGGAGGGAGAGAAAGGGAGAAAGGGAGAGAGGGAAAGAGGGGGAGAGGGGGACAGAGAGAGAGAAAGAGAGAAAGAGGGAGAGAGAGAGAGAGAAGAGAGAGAAAGGGAAAGAGAGAGAGAAGAAGAGAGAAAGAGGAAGAGAGAGAGAAAATGGGAGGGAGAGGAAGAGAGACAAAGGGGGAGAGGGAAAGAGGGAGGAAGAGAGAGAGAGATTAAATTGTACATCATTCTATCAGAGAAAATGCCCCAGTGATGATGATTCCAGACACTGAAGACCAAAGTCAGAAAAAGGAAAAAAAAAAGTCTTGTCATATAAAAATAAGACAAGGCACAGTAATTTGTATGTGAACTACCTAGTATGAGTCATTACCACCTAGCACCGTAACAAACTGGGCAGAGCATTCAAGGTGTATCCTATTAACTTTGCTCTACATTCTACTTGGGCAAAAGTCAATCAACACATAGGAAGCACCTGCTGTGCACCAGGCACTGTGCTAAGCGCTTAACAATTATTATCTCATTTTATCCTCACTACAGCCCTGGGAGGTACATGCTATTATTATACCCATTTTACAGAACTGAGGCAGACAGAGATTAAGGGACTTGCCCGAGGTCATACAACTAGTAAGTGTCTAAGGCCAGATTTGAACTCAGGTCCTCCTGACTCCAGGTCCTGTGCTCTATCCACCGTCCCACTTAGCTGCCTCAAATAGGTGCTTTATAAATGCTAGTTGAGGGGCAGCTAGGTGGCGCAGTGGATAGAGCACTAGCCCTGTATTCAGGAGGACCTGAGTTCAAATCCGGCCTCAGACACATAACACTTACTAGCTGTGTGACCCTGGGCAAGTCACTTAACCCCATTGCCTAGCCCTGCCCTCCCCAACCCCCCAAAATGTTAGTTGACTTGAGGTCAGTAGTACCCAGATTCTTATGCCTCTCCTTTGTCCTAACTTTCCCTCCTCTCCCGATGCTAAGAGGGACTCACCCAAGAGATGCTTCATGATGGCTTGGTTGTGTTCCCAGAGGTTGTTAAAGGTCCCCCATCGGGAGTGGCCATCAGGCACAGGATTGGCCTTTATCCAGCCCCCACAGGCATAGCTGAAGAAGTCTTGGCAGGGGTCCACTGTTTGGTCCAAGGAGCTCAGGATGGAACTGGTCACTGAGATGCAAGCTTCACTCAGGCACAGAGCAAGGGGTCCTAGTAGGAAGAGCAACAAGAGGTCCGTGAGAGGCTGTGGAAGATGCTGGTGGGTAATCAACGGATCAATAAATAAACATTTATTAAGCACCTATTATGTACTAGGCATTGTCCTAAGCACTGGGCATACTTTCATTTGGCAAATGATTATTAATATGGATATTAATCTACTCCATGGTTACAATGTAAACTCTCTTTCATTATAGTTCACTGTCATCAGTGAATACTTATAAATGTTTATTATCAAATTGATTAATTGATTATAAGTAGAGAACTGTTCTGGGTGCTGGAGGAGATATACAATTTAGTGATGTGGAACCTGCCCTAAGAAAACTTTATTTTTCTAGTAGGGTATGATACTACAAGTGTTCCTGCTGCTGCTTCTCCCACCTACTACTACGACTATTACTATTGCTGCTGCTGCTGCTATGATTCCTACTTACTACTAATACAACTGTTGCTGCTGTTGTTACTTCTACTACCACCACCACTACTACTACTACTTTCTTCTTCTCAATGAATGACCTCCTTGAGGTAGAAGCCTATTACTGGAATCTCTGGGTCAAAGATTATGAGCATTTCGGTCACTTTATTTTCACAATGCCAAATGGCTGTAGTGATTCACAGCTCCACCAACAATGTACCAGTATACTTATTTTCCCATAATCCCTTCAACATTGACTTTTCCCATATTTTGTGATCTTGCTCAATTTACTGGACATGAGGTAACCTCAAGGTTTTTTTAATTTTCATTTCTCTTATTGCTAGAGATCTGAAGCACTCCTTCATGTGATTATTAATAGTTTGCAATTTTGAGAACAGTTTGCTCATATCCTTTGACTACTTATCTAGTGGCTTTTGTGTACACACATGTGCACACACACACACACACACACACACACAGAGTAGTTGTTCATACAAGGTGTCCCAAAAGTCTTAGTGTCACTCTAGACTCTAATGGCTTAAAATGGCACTAAGATTTTTGAGAAAACCCTGTATATTTTGGATATCAAACTCTTACCAGACATATCTGATACAAAGATATTTTTCCTATTCAATCTTTCCCTTTTTATCCCAGATTCATTCATTTTGTTTGTGCAGCAATTTTATGTCACCAAAGATATCAATTTCCTCTTTGGTCATGGTCCTCTTCTATCCTTTGTGTAGTTCAGAATATGGCTCCTACCCATATGTGTGACAGTGACTTTCAACCAACTGGTTTTTTTTTTTGTGGGGTGGGGTATGAGCTTTAGTATTAAGGTCACATAAACATTTTAAAATTATTGTTGAATAGAGACAATTATTTCTTAATTGCCAAATCTAATGGCCTTTTCTCAATCCTCACCCTTATTGACCTCTCTGCAGCCTTTGACGATGTTTATCACCCTTTCCTTGTATGTATTTTCTGCTCTCCAGGTTTTTGAAATGATGCTCTTTCCAAGTTCTCTTCCTACCTACCTGTATGGGCAACCACTCTTGCTCTTTTGTTAGATCTCACACTCTCTATCAAGTGGGTCCCCCAAGAATATGTCCTGGGCCCTCCTTTCTTCCCTCTCTACTATCGCACATGGTGACCACATCAGCTCCCATGGATTCAATGAGGTTAAAATGACTCGCCCAGGGTCACACAGCTAAATAAGTGTCAGAGGCAGGATATGAGCACAGGTCTTCCTGACTCTAAGTCCAGTACTAAACTATGCTGCTTCTCAATATGACACTAACACAGATCACTATGATACACAGTACTACATGGGCAGCTAGGTGACATAGTAGATGGAGTCAGGAAGACCTGAGTTCAAATCCTGCCTTTGACATCTACTAGCTGTTTCCCTGGGCAAACTGCTTCACCTCTGCCTCAGTTTACTCATCTATAAAATGAGGACGGTAATAGAACCTACATCCCAGGGTTGTTGTGAGAATCAAATAAGATCAATTCCATAAAGCATTCTGCAAATCTTTAAGTGCTTTATAAATGCTATTATAATTAGCTATTATGAAAAGTACATTAGAAAGCCACAAATCTACTTTGAAGGCTGAGGAGAAAGCTCTCACTAACTGCAGGAATGAATAAAGACTTGGGTTTTAAAGAATAGATAGGAATTTAACAGATGAAAAGGAAGAGAAAAGGACTTCGGGCATTTTTTGCATATGGGACAGAAGAACAAAGCCATGGAGGCATAAAGACACATGGTAGGCAGCTAGGTGGAGCAGTAGATAAAGTGTTGGACTTGGAATAGGAAAGGCGTGAGTCCAAATCTTGCCTGTAAGTCAACAAGCATTTATCATGCAGCTACTATATTCCAGGCATTCTGCAAAGTGCTAGGGATACAAAGAAAGGCAAAAGACAGTTTCCTCATCTGTAAAATAAAAATAATAGCCCGTTACCTCAAAGAATTGCGGGGAGATAGGAATACTCTAGCTAAATAATAAGAATTAATCAATGTTTATTGAATTAAATTGATTTGTGTCAGCATCTACTGGATATCTGCTACATGCCTAGCACTCTTACCCAAAAGGGTGTATGTAGTTGAAAATGTTACTGAGCTTGGGAGCCGGCAGACTTAGGTCTGTATACTGGCTTCTCTATTTTTTTTTTTATTGCTTATATAACCCAAGGCACTCTCCCTTTCTGAGTCCTGTTTTCACCTTTGTAGAAATGAGGGCGACTGGATTAGACAGTGGCTAAAGTCCTTGACAGCTCTAAATCCAACGAAATTTCAGCACTCTTCCTTCCCCGCCCTCAAAGAGAATCTAATCTGATCAGCTGGTCTTATCTAGGAAAGTTGATGGGCACAGGCAGGAAACCTTTATTTTCTGCTTTTTCAGGCAACTGTTGCTATAATACTTCACTGCTACTGCATACTGGGCCAGGGTCTTATATGGTTTCATGGATAAATTAAATTCATTACTTGGGAGAAGCTGTCTAGTGTGTTGTGGTCAGCGACTTAGAAAGGAGAGATAGCCTGGTCCATGTCGGAGGCTTAGACCTCGAGCAGTCTGTCTGTCTGTCTTTCTCACTGCCTTGGCCCTGGGCATGACATCCTTCTACCACACATAATGTACAGGACTACCACAGGAGCATATCGGTGCCTAAGCTAAAATTGGCTGTTTGGGGGTTTGGAATCAGGGGAACCTAGGTTCAAATCCCACCTCTGACATTGGCTATCATTTAACCTCTGTTCCTCAGTTTTCTGAGGCACATTAAATGGTTCCTCATTCAATCCCATCCAACTTTAAATCTATAATCCTTTTTTCTCTCCTTAGTTTTTCCTCTTAAGAATTCAGAGCAGTGAGTCATTGATGTTGACATAATGTCAATCTGAGGACCTATTAAAGGACCTGTAGGAAAAGACTCAGGGGAGATAGAACTATCCTCAAATATTTTATGAGCTATCACATAGAAAAGGAATCAGCCTTGTCCGTTTGCCCCAGAGGACAGATCAGGGAGCTGGAAAGGCAGATTTAGGTTTGATGCCAGAAAAAATTTCTAGCAATTGGAGATGACCAAAAGTAGAGTGGGGTGCCTCAGGAGGTAGTTTCCCCCAGCCCCAACCAACAGAGGTCCTCAAGACTGGATGAGCACTTACAGGGGAAGATATGGACAGGTTTCTTGAGAGGCATGATGGCATAACAGTTAGAGTACTAGACTTGGAGTCAGAAAAGATTGGATTCACACACCATCTTTGTCGTGTTGTTAAATGTTCACCTATCTGGTTCTTCCAAGACTATACACTCCAAGAGAATGGGGACTTTGATGTATTTTTCTTTAGGTATGTGACCAGGGGCAAATCACATAACCTTCCCACACCTCAGTTTCTCCAGCTGTAAAATGGGGATCCGGGCATTGTGGTACAAATGAAGAGGTGTTGATCTTTGAGGCCAATGGACTGGATTCAAATAGTGCCTTTTCTACCTACTTCTTGTGTAACCTTAGGCAAGTTCTTTAACTTCACCTGTCCTCTAAAATCACTTTCTGCTCCAAATCTTTGATCCTATAATAACCCAAAATGGTGGAGAGGTTGATTTAAGCTCAGTATTGGAAATAACTTCCTAACAATTAGAGGTATGTGTTCCACATTAGAATTGCGAGTTCCATGATATGTGGTGAGCTCCCCATCACTAGGGGTATTCAAGCAGAGGACAGATGGCCACTTGTCTGGGAGGTTATGAAGGGTACAGATTTGACTCAATGAGATCTTTTGTAACTCTCACATCTTGTTGGCTACCGCAGATGCTGGCTGCTTGTGCTTGGAAGTGGCAGAGGGTGGAGGAAACAACTCTGAGTAATAACTCTTGACCTCTTGAAGAGGCCTCTGACAGTGAAAAGGAGGGTGTGGGCTGGCAGGCGGTGGTCTCATCCCCCTCTGTAACCACAGTGCCTGCCAGGGCTCCAGAAAGTGACCTGTGAGCTTACTGCTGTCTGAATACAAATAAGAGGCATTTCCAGGCAGACACACAGTAACAGCAGGAAAGACCCCTATCTCAGGAATCTAGCCTTTGATTCTTAGGACCAGGCTTGGCTTGGGGAATAATACTAACAGCTCCCATTACTACAGTACTTTTACAAAGCGTTTTCCTCAAAACATCCCTCGGAGGGGAAAGGGGGATAGTGCAGGGTTTTTTTTTATTTCCCTTTTATGGATGAGGATCAGAAGGGAAGTGACTTGCCCAAGGTCATACAACTAGGGTGATGCAGAGCCAAGTCTTTTCATTACACTGTGGTGTGCGCACTCTCTCCCTCTCTCTTTCTCTCTTCCCTTTCTTCTTTCCCTCCCTCTCTCTCTCCCCTCTTTTTTTCCTCTCTCCTCTTTTCTGCCTCTCCTCTTTCTCTCTCTTCCTCCCTCCCCTCTCCTCCTCCTTCTTTCTCTTTCCTCTCTCTCTCTCTCTCTCTCTCTCTCTCTCTCTCTCTCTCTCTCTCTCTCCCCTTCTCTCTCTGTCTCATTCTCATCTTTCTCTCTCCTCTCTTCTCTGTCTGTCTGTTTCCTCTTTCTCTCCCTTCCTCCCTCCCCTCTCCTCTTTTTCCTTCTCTCTCTATCTCATTCTCTGTCTGTCTCTCTGTCTGTTCTCTTTGGCATCCATTCACTCTTATAAGAGAAAGCCCTTGTTCGCCTGCTGATACACAGATGGCCTTGGAGAAGGCAGCCAGGAGGACCCAGACCTCCTCATTCTCAGCCCGCCTTTCTCTTCCCCCCCCCCCCATTCCCTAAGCACTGACCGGGTCAGTCACTTTCTGGAGAGCCTGAGATAATCTTCAGAAACAACCTGCTTTTTATTTTGCTGCTCATGTTTGCAAAGGCACCTGTAGTCCACGCCAGGGAGGATTCCTCTGAAATGTGAACAAATATGTACGGAGGTGCCCAGACATAACTCATAGGTGGGGATGGATCTCAAGGCTAATCAGAGGATTTGCTGTGACGGGCTTGATGTTTGCTCAGACATGACTGGTGCCAGCTCTCACTGGGTAACCAGTTTGGTTGGCCAGGAGGACCAGGCCACCTTTCTCACCAAGTTAGCTGACAAGAAACATGGGCCTTCCTCGGGCTGTACTCGGCCCCTGGCTGGTGTGTTCAGCGGAGTCTTGATAAATAACAATGAGGAGGACAAGGTGGTGTGGTAGAGGGAATTAGGGGAGCTGGCATTGAATCAGGAAGATCTGAGGTCAGGTCTGGCCTCTGACTCACTCTGGTTCTGAGGTCAGCTCTGCCACTGTATCTCCTGACTCTGAGTATTTTCTCTGCCTGGAATGCTCTCCCTCCTCTGGCTTCCTTCAAGTCCCGACTAAAATCCCACCTTCTTCCCACCTTTCCCAATCCCTCTTAAGTCTAGTGTCTTCCTTCTGTTCATTTATTTCCTATTTATCCTGTATATAGCATGTTTGTACATATCTGTTTGCTTGTAGCTCTATAAGCTCCATGAAGGCAGGGACAGTCTTTTTGCCTTTTTTTTTTTAATCCTTAGGGCTTAGCACAGTACCTGACACATAGTAGGTGCTTAATAAATGCTTACTGACTGACTATGGGGAATGACCCTGAATGAGTCACTTAATTCTCTCTGTCCCAGGCAAATCTCAAGATAAACACAGGGCTAGTTAGTAATGATCTGGATTGGCAGATAGAGTTTCCTTGCCAGGAATTCAGGCTCAAGAATTAAGCCATTTGCCCAAAGTCACACTTTGTAGTCAGTCAGTGGTAGAGCTGGGGTTTAAATTCAGGAGGCAGATTTTTAAAAGACTGTTGGCTCTGGAGTCAGGAAGACCCAAGTTCAAATCCTATCTCTGACCCTTACCGATTGTGTGATCTTGGGCAAATCAGTTTCCTTTTCCCAGTCTCCTTGGCCGTAATACGAGAAGGGTGGATGAGTTAGATGGCTTGACCTCTAAGGGTCCCTCCAGTCCTAAGACCATAATCTCTTTTGTCCAATCTAGTGACCCACTCATTCTGCCACCCTTTACATAAGTCTCTCTGCCCCTTCCAGATGGCAAACTTAGAGCAAGGCCCAAGCTGCATTAACCTCTGCCTCCCCAGCACCCAGCGCAGGCCTTTGACATTTAAAACCTGCTTGTCATTGGGCGATCCTTAGCAAATCACATGAACTTTCAGTACTGTAGGTAACCCTCCCAGAGAAGGTGTCAACCTGTACCCACAGAGGGATTTTCCTCATCTGGAAGTTCCCTACACCAAAGAAATCATAGGTCTAGTCCTTATCTCTATTGAACTGCAGGATCACAGACTTAGAGCTAAAGAGGCTTCCATTTTACAGAAGAGGAAACTGAGTCCCAGAGAGTTTAAAGGAGTTGCCAGGGTCACATATATAGTAAGCATCAGATCAGGATTTGAACCCAGGTCCTCTTTCCTCCATATCCAAGGCCTGTTTCAGCCAAGGGCAGGGAGGAAAGGAGCAAGCTCAGTGACGGGGCTGGCCCACGTCGCACTTACTAGTTTTGTACTGGAAGGTCAAGACTGCCAGGGATGCCAACAGCCCCAGCACCAAAAGGCCAATCACCACGGAAAGGCGCTTTTCGATATGAGTTCTCTCGGCCCAGCAGCTCCGGCCATTCCTGGAGCCTCGGAAATTCACCTGCAGGAGGAGGAGGAGGAAGAATTAGCTTCGGATTCCTTCCCACCAACAAAAGCATCCCCACCCAACCATCCCCATGGAGGACACGGTCAGCCTGGTGGGAACAATGCCAAGGAGACGTCTGGGCTGCTCTCCCACCTTCAGGTGGGTCTGGTTCCCAGGAAATTAGCCCTAATCCGGTAAAGAAGTCCCCGCCCTTGATCAGCAACTCAGATTTGCTGCTCAAACAGCGGAGATGCCAGGGGTTGAGCCTGAGGAGGGTCTGTGTGTTTTAAAAGTGTCACTTGATATGGGGTGGAGGGGTAGGGAGGGGGAAGAAAGGCAACTTTCTCTAATTCTTCCATCACCATGTCCAGGAAAGGGAAGGACACTGGACCTTTTAAGCTGAGTGAACATTCCAGCAGGACCTCTGCCACACCAACATGGAGGTGGAGGCCAAGAACTGTTTCCTTGGAGTCTGAGGAGCTGGGGTGATGTCCCAGCAAGGGCAACAAGTTGCTGTGTGGTCGTGGGCCTGTCATTTCTCAGAGCCGCAGCTTCCTAGGATTGTAGTTTGAGAAATGGAAGTGACTTAGAGGCCATGAAGGCCAACCCTCTCATTTTACAGATGAGAAAACTGAGGCTGAGGAAGGTTGTGTGACTTGACTGCGGTCGCACTGGGAGAGGGGCAGGATCCGTACCCACGACCTCCGACTCTAAATCTGGTGCTCCTTCCACCTTAAAGATGAGGAAGCTGAGGCCCAGAGAGGTTAAATGATGATTTGCCCAGGGTCACATGGATAGCCAGTGTCAGGGTGAGATTTGAATTCTAAACTCAGCACTCTCTTCCAATAATATACTGTGCAGGCTCTTACGATATTTTCTCATCTGTGAAAAGGGAATAATAATTCATGTACTCCCTACACTGAAAGGTTGTAAGAGAAGTATTAAGTTAATGGGAACTATTATTCCCCAACCCCACCATCCCAGTAAGCTCCACTGTTCCTAATACCCCTTAGAAAGAATATGTTCCCCTCTTGACTGTGCCAAGGGCTTTCTTCCTACATTGTATATTTGTCATGTATTATTTCATATGAGAGACACCATGGCAGAATGGGTCAAAGCCAGGGAGATGTGAGTTCAAGTCTAGCCTCAGATATCCAAGCTTTGTGATCCTGGGAAAATCACTTAACAACTCAATGTAACTTAACCCACAAAACTCCCTAAAACTAAGTCACAAAGGAGTTGTCCAATTAGCATCGGTGGGAGGAGTTTCCACATTAGGGAGTTCCTTCACACTGTTGAAATTACAGGTCCAAAACTAACTCACTAAATAAATAAGTTTTGTGTTAGAGTCACCTGTGCTTGGGGTGTCTCCTCCATCCCCCCACCTATTTGTGATTTTCATGAAGACAGGGGCCATCATTTAAATAAACTCAGTCCCTCCTCCAGTGTCCAGCACAGTGCTGGGCAAAAGCATTTAATGTTTGCTGAATTTAAGGTACAGAGACATAGACTCTGAGAGTGGGAAAGGTCCAACTCCCAACTGCACATTTTCCATCTACTCTACACAAATCAATGTTTTCAAACTGTGATGCTGGACAAGACTTTTGAGAGTCCCTTTGACAGCAAGGAGATCCAAGAATCAATACTTAAAGAAATTAATTCAGGCTGTTCACTGGAAAGTCAAACACTGAAGCCGAAGCTTAAATACTCTGATTACATAATGAGAAGATGGGACTCAATGGAAAAGACCTTGATGTTGGGAAAGACTGAAGGCAAAAGGAAAAGGGGATGGCAAAGTATGAGATCGATGGACAGAGTCATGAAAAGAACAAACATGAACTTGGACTGACTTTGGGAGATAGAGGAGGACAGAAGGTGTGCTGTGGTCCATGGGGTCACAAAGAGTTGGATGTAACTGAACAACAGTAACAGAAATAGGGATAGAAATAGGACCCTGTGATTTCACTAACTCAGGGAACTCCAGAGGGAAGACACACCTTCTACGAATGCAGGTCTATACCTCTCTTGTAAATGAAAGTCTCAGCCAGCTGCCTGCATCATAGAAAGGGGAAGTGACTTGCCCAGAGTCACTGAGGCCAGTATGTGTCAGGGAAAGGATATGAGCTCAGGTCTGTCTGGTTTGAAGACCAGCTCTCACTCCACTTTGCTGCCTCTCATGTGACTTACACACATTCTGGTTTACGCACATGTTGCCTTCCCCATCAGAATGCAGCCACTTCCTTGGGGACAGAACTATTTTTTTCTAATTAATTTTTCTTTTTCCATTAGCAAAGATCCGACATCCCCCACTCCCACCCCTAATCTTCACCCCACCCCTATCCCCACTGAAAAAGAAAGAAAAACAAAACGCCTGCTACAAACATATAGTAAAGCAAAACAAATTTCGGCACTGGCCAAATCCTCCCCACTTCACCAAAAAAAATAAATTGTTTGAGTCTATGCTCTGCTTCTTTTACCGTTCTGCAAGGAAGCAGGCAGGTTGCATGTTTTCATCCCTAGTCCTCTGGAATCATGGCTGATTATGACACTGATCAGAGTTTTTTGAAATTGTCTTGTCTTTACAATATCATTGCCCTGGCTCTGCTCACTTCACTTTGTACCAGTTCATATAGTTATCCCAGGTTTCTCTGGAGCCATCCCCTTCATTTGCACAATAGCATTATAATTCATTCACATACCATAACTTGTTCAGCCATTCCCCAACTGATAGACAACCTCTCGGTTTCCCATTCTTTGCCACTGAAACAGCTATAAATGTTTGTTTTGCTTAGGGCTAATCCCTCCCTTAATCTTTTGTTATTGCTCAGTACTGTCTGATTCTTCATGACCCCATTTAGGGTTTTCTTGGCAGAGACATTGGAGTGGTTAGCCATTTTCTTCTCCAGCTCATTTTACAGATGAAGAACTGAGGCAAACAGGTTTAAGTGACTTGCCCACGGTCACACAGCTAGCTAAGCGTTTGAGGTCAGATGTGAACTCACGAAGATGAGTCTTCCTGACTCCAGGCCTGGCACTCTATCCACTGTGCCACTTAACTGCCCCTCCCTTAATCTACCCTCTCTCTAATTCCCCCTTCTCTCTTCTCTCCTATTTTCCTGTGCAGTGAAATGTATTTCTGTATCCAACTCTGTGTGTGTGTGTGTGTCTTCAGATGAGAGTTAGGTTCAAGTGTCAACCACTCTCTTCACCCTTCTTCCTTGTTAGCATAAACTTCTACTTGCATACCCCAACTATGTGATATATTTTCTCCTAACCTTCCTCCCCTTAACCTTGCCCCCACTGTATTCTTCTCCCCTCTATAATATCCCCAATAAGCAGGCATTGAAATCATCAGTAAAATGGAAGCCAATGGGTCCCCACGCAGCCCCTTCTACCCTGGGACAGCTGTTATTGGTATGCCCATTATTGTTACTGGTTAATGAGCTCCTCTTCATTGCAACTCTCCTTTCCCCTACCCTAGTCCTGTGCTTTGGAGCAAAATTAAATAACTCTAACCTCTCCTTCCCCAAGGCTGCCCTTCAAATACCTGAAGATGGCTCTCAGCTTTCCCATCATGTCTTCTTTTCTCTAGGCTAACCATCCCCAGTTCCTTCAGATGATTTAGTGAGTCACTGATCAGGATTCTTGGGAGGAACCAGAGAGGGAAGAGGAGAGGAGGGGAGTGGGGGGAACAGCCTATTTTAATCAAATCACCAAGAATTACCAGCCAAACCGACTCTGAACTAAACAGGAAGGGCGTCACAATAAAGGGAAGTGCACCCGGCAGCCGGCTGGAAGGCTGAGTCCCCAGAGCATGCATCTGTGGCGCTCCATCCCAGAGACACCCAGGCACCATCCAATCTAATCTGGCCTTGAATAGCCCTCTGATGGAAGCATATCTGAGTGACCTTGGACAATTCACTTAAGCTCGGAGTGGGTGTGGGGGTGGTGTCTCATCTTCCTTAACTGTAAAACGAGGAGGTCTGATCTAAAACAAAAATTACAAAGTAAATCTAGGGGAGGGCCCCAACAGTGGAGTGTGTGTCTGATGGGGGAGGAGAAAGGATGAGGAGAAGCCTCATAGAGAAAGTAGCATCTGTTCTCCACTTGAACATCTCCAATGCTGGGAACCCTCCCGTGGATCAGCAGCCTAGTTCACTTCCGGCCTCTCACTTCAGACAGCCTGGGCCCAGTGTGAGAATGAAGGCCCAAGAAGCTCTGGCCTCTCCTATGGCTTCAGCTGCTTCCCATAAAGGCTGGGGCCTCTGGAATCAGAGTTTCTCAAAAAGCCCTAAGGCCACAGGGCCATATGGAAACATCTGTGTACATAGCTCTCCGGGGCCTGAGCAAGGCTACAAAAATGCCTGACGGCTTCACAGCCACCACTTATGACCACAAGCCACATAAAATATCTCGGTTTGCCTTGGCAGCCCAGGCACGGCCCTGATTAGGTAAGATTGTGCTGAAGGTCGCCAGAGCATCCCGAATGGCTGGTCTCTAACAGGTCCTCCTGCCTCCACCTCCCCTCCCCCCGAATCCATCTTCCATGCACACCCAGATTAATCTTTCTTGGGCATACATTTCAAGAGGAAAACTCCTTAGCTCAACCATCTTCACCAGCTCCCTACTGCTACTGAGAAAGTCCAGCTTCCTCTGTGGGGCATTTGAAGCACTCCAAGCCTTCTCTCCTGTTTCTCCCTTCCACACACTCTATGATCAGGCCAAACTGGTCGGCTCCCTGTCCCCCAAACACACCCTGCATTTCCTGGCCTCTCTGCCTTCGCTTGTGCTACTCCATATGCTTGGAATACCCCCTCTCCTCTCACTTTATTGGGTGATAAAGGGGGATCCCTTACATGGAGTAGTGGAGAGACCACTGAGGCCAGAGTGAGAGGATGTGGATTCGAATCCTGTCTCTGCCCTTCAATATCAATATGATCTTTGGGTTTCAGTTTGCTCATCTGTGAAATGAGAGGGCTGGGCTACATTCGACACCACTGAGGTCTCTTCCAACT